TGCGTCCGGAGTTCCCCGCAGCCACCCTTGAGAGATGCAGCGGACAGACCTCCCTTAGTTTCGCCTCGATCCGTCGACTAAGACCTTCGCGGTGCTGTCGGCACACACCGAAGTCTCCCTCGTGCCAGCCAAACAAAAGACACACCCGTTGAGCATCGTCACGTGCGTCAACGGCCACGCAAGTAAATACCCACCGCAACGCAAAGTGTTTCTTATTGGGAAGCAAAAGAAAACTGAAGAAGGCGGCCTGGACAGCACACAACGAATCACACGCCAGGCAACCCTGAAATAAATGCGAAAGGACCAACGCGGGATGAGCAGCACAAACACTCGAGAGCTGCTGCGTGAACTCCACGGTAAACGGATCAGCCCCAACGCATGGGCACTAATTACAGCGGGTGACAGCGCAAAAACCAAAAGTTCCGCAGGGCCGGAAATTGTAGGGACGACATCCAAACCCTCCCAGGATTCGTGTACCAAGACACGCAAATAATCTGTCTCTCGGTGCAAACCATCATCATCCTCATCGCTGTTTTTGCCGCCATTCGTATTGTCACACTCAAAGCCGGTGAGGGAAGGTGCCGCCATGATAATTGCGACATCACCCTGAATGAAAGAACGCAATGCCTCGAAGGGTGCCGAGTGCAGGCATCCCGTCAGGCAGCGACACGCCGCACTCCCAAAGAAAAGCGATGAAAGACCGTAGAAAATGTTTTCATCCGCCATCGTAATATCATCCAGCGGGTTCGCCCTCTTATTCCTTCGGCGCTTCGTCCTTCCCCACAGCAACAGCTGCCACTGCCGTAGACCACGCTCCCGCTACCATCACTCTCACAGAGAGACAGGGAAGAGTGCGTGGAAGTGTGTGCCGAGAACACGGCGACTGTCATCGTCAGAGAAGGCCATCGTGGCACCGTCATCCTTTCAGCGCAAACGTCAGCCAACGTCCCTCGTTACCAAAAACGTTCCTGCAGAGCACTGTACAAATACTCATGTGACTGTGTACGTGTGCTGTGGGAGAGGAGCTAAAAAGAAGAAGAGCACAGGGAGGCACATCAGCACAGCAAGAGGCACAGCTGGATGGAAGCGATACATGCGGCACGGCCCCAACCTCATCAATCACGCACGGTGGCGGCACAAACACATCCACTAACAAAACAAAACAAAAAAACACGGCGGCAGGGTGTGGCTGTGTGTGTGGCGCTGCGGGTGTCTGCCAGCCCTGGCCGCAAAGAAAACAAAACAAGAGGGGAAGAAATGTGTGCTCCGCCCCACAGGCCCTCGTCGCACGCCCACACGTCACGGCTCCCTCAGCGCGCCGTTCGTCGCGGCCCCTCCTCATGCGTGCAGCAGGCGAGGCGCACAGGGCCGTCGTCATGAGCGTGTCGGTGGGTGTGCGAGTGGAGCAGTTGGGCGGGAAACACACGGCACTCCTCACAGGAAGAGTGCCGCAAGAAACAATTAAAAGGAGGGAAGAGTAGAAAAGAAAAAAGTTCCACAGTGATTGCCCCCAAAAACCAAAAAAAAAGGATATGGGATGTAAAATTAAAAAAAAAAAAAATTTTAAAACAATTTTTAAAACAAGAAAGTAGCAAAAAAGAAGATATGGGTGAGCAAAATAAAGAAACAGACGAAAATTAATAACGGAAAAAAAAATTTTTTTTAAGGACACACACTCGCACACACGCGCAACACGCAAAAAAAATTATGAATTACAAACAGAAAGCAAGAAAAGAAAATTATCGTAAGGATAAAGTTAGTTCCAGGAAAATTAATTCCGTGCAGGGGAGGTCGCAAGTGTCCCACGCGGCAGCCAGTCACGCCTCACAGAGCCGCAAACCCCCACAGTCCCAACAGGAGAAGCAGCAACGATAGCAACAGTCCGCTCTCACGCGTGGTGCCGGCATCGCTGTTATTCCCCTGCGACAAATTCCCGAGATGGCTGTTGAGGGCCGCAGCCTTTACGTCCCCGTTCTGTGCTTGGATCTCCTTCTCCTCTCGCCCATTCATTCCTCCTTCTCTTGTCTCCACCGCTGCGTCACTGTCGGACAAGGAAGCGCCACCCACATTTTCACTTCCATCGGAAGATTCTTCTGAAACCACCTGCATTACAGACTCTTCTCCTGAGGAAGTCGTGGCACTGGACACTGTTGGTGTAGATACACCGTTCACACCGCTGCTCCCCAACAACTGTCTCTGTTCTTCCTTTCCTCCACCAGAAGATTGAACCGCGTCTCCCTCAACAGGCCTGTCCACCTCAACTTGAATATTGGCTTTATTCGGGTTGAAGGC